ACAGAAAAAAAAGCAGGAACTGCTGTTTTCACATGTGACAAATCAGAGTTTCAGTCAAAAAGCTAACAAGTGACAAAGATGAGCATTACATAATGATCAAGGAAATAATTTATCACGAAGCTATAACTGTCATAAAAAATGAGGCAACTAAAACAGGTGAACCCAAATGTATAAAACAACTACTACCAGATTTACAGCAACACATTGGCAGCAAAACAATAATAGCAGGGTATTTCAACATATCATTTATATCAATGTATATTATAGATCACCCAGACAGAAAATGACCAAGGAAATAAAAGTAGTAAATGAAGTAATGGATCACATGGACATAATATTTACAGATCCTTCCATCCCCAAAGAAATAAATACAAATTCTTCTCAAGTACACATTATATTTTCTCAAGGGTAGATCATATGCTGAGACAATGAAACATGTCTCAAAAATAAATGAAATCAAAAATTATATCAAGTATTTTCTGATCACAATGGTATTTTTTAAAGAAACCCAGACTAAAAATATGCTTTTGAATAATTCAGGGGTCAATAAAGATCAAAGGGGAAATAAAAAAAAATTATCTAGAGACTACCAAAAATGAAGAGAGAAGAAACCAGTTCTTCAGTGGTATTAAGAGAGAAAACATAGGGGCCTCCCTGGTGGCACAGTGGGTTGAGTGCAGCACTGTGAAGTGGTGCAGTGGGTTGAGTGCAGTGCTATGAAGCTGTCCGCAGCCTCTGCAGTGTAGGTTCAATTCCCAGCAGGTCAGGGAGATACCCACATGGCGTGGCAGACCCTTCCTGTCTTGCCCACTGCTCCCCTCAGCAGTGTTTTTGGTCACCTGCCTGTTCTGCCCCCCACTCTGTCTCTGATGAATTCTCTCACCCTCCCATGGCTCTGGCCTGTACTCCAGTTCTTGCATAAATAAAAAAATATTTTTTAAAAAAACAAAGAGGGGGAGAACATAGCAATAAAGAGCCACATCAATAAACAAAAATTTCATATAAATAATACAACTTTACATCTGAAGGAACTAGAGAAAAAGGAACAATAAACCAAAAATCAGTAGAAGGAAAAAAAAAGTAAAAAATTAGAGTAGGAATAAAATAGAAGTAAAAACAATGATACAAAAGATAAATGAAACCAAGAGCTGGGTCTTTGAAATAATAAACAAAATTGATAAACCCTTAGGTTGGCTCACTAAGAAGAAAGGCAACTTAAAAAATAAGAATCAGATATGAAAGAGCAAAACAATGTAATTTACCACATCAACAAAAGTAAACATAAAAAGTCATATTATCTATTTGGTATAAATGGACTCAACATCCATTTATGATTTCTCAAAAGCTCAAAAGTTGGAATAAAGAGAACATATCTCAACATAATAAAGGCTGATTATGACAAACCAAAGGTTCGCATCATTCTAAACAGTAAAAAACCAAAAGCTTTGAAGAGTTTGGTATCATCTTTGAAGGTTTGGTAGAACCAATTTTCATTTGTATAGCCAACTTGTGCTGGCTTTTTTTTTTAATTTAAATTTTATTTTTATATTCCCTATACAATTACAACCCCCTTATTTTGACCCCAACCCCTCCTTTCCCCGCCCCCCCAACCCCCATAGAGTGTCTCTGGTTCATAGTTGTTTGTTGATTTTGATATTTTCTTTCTTATAGTTATTCTTTTTCCTGGTCCCTTATTTAAGTTTTCTAGATTCCTGCTATGAGTGAAACCATCTGGTATTTTTCTTTTTCTTCCTGGCTTATTTTGCTGAGCATGATCCCTTCCAGCTCCATCCATGTTGCTGCAAATTGCATGTGTTTATCTTTTTTGAATGCTGAGTAATATTCCATGGTATATATTTACCACATCTTCTTGATCCAGTCATCTATTTTTGGGCATTTGGGTTGTTTCCAAAGCTTAGCTATTGTAAATAGTGCTGCTTTAAATATAGGGGTGCAGGTGCTCTTTGGAATTGATGTTTTTGTGTCCTTTGGGTAAATACCTAGGAGTGGAATTGCTGGATCATATGAAAGCTCTATGTTTAGTAGGTCAAGAACTCTCCACGCATCTCTCCAAAGTGATTGGACCAGTTTTGTGCTGGCTTTTTGTTCTTAGAAAGACTTTTGATCTCTCTTTTGATTTTTGGGCTTGTGATAGGTCATTCAAGCTTTCCATTTCATACTAGTTCAGTATTTGGAAGGTTGTAAGATACTAAAAATTTGTCCATTCTTGGTTGTCCAATTTGTTTACATACAGATATTCATAGTAATAGTATCTTATAAGCCTTTGTATTTCTGGGATATCTGTAGAAATTCTGCCCCTTTCACTTCTATTTCTTTAATTTAAAATAATCATTTCACTGGATGAAGCAAAAAATATATATAGAAAGGTTTATAAGATATATAGAAGCACATGGCAAAAATATGACAAAGTATAAATCTTAAAAAAAAATGACAAAGTATGAAGGTAGTAAATGAAATTATACATTCTTACATTGTTTTTTGAAGTGATATAATTCAGACAGTAGTGAGCTAAGAATATATATTGTATTCTCTAAAGAAAAATACAGGGGCCTCCCTGGTGGTACAAAGGGTAAGTCGCAGCACTATGAAGCTATCCGCAACCACTGAAGCACGAGTTTGATCCCTGGCTAAGGAGCTACCCACATGGCACAGCAGACCTCTCCTGTCTTGCCCACTGCTCCCCTCAGCAATGTATTTCAGTCAGTTCATCTGTTCTGTTCCCCACTAGGTCTCTGGTGAATCCTCTCACCCCCACCCCTCTGACCTGTACCCCAGTTCTTGTATGCAGAAATAAATAAATCTTAAATATATATATATATATAAATGTGCAACTAAAAAGCCAAGAAAGATGATGAAATGAATTAAAAGCAAAACTTATTATACAAGATCTGAAACAAATAAATGGTCATATGATTTTACTCATTATGAAGACAGGAGAAAACTCTGAAACACATTTTATGTGGTCAATATTACCTTGATTGCAAAACCAAACAAGTACAGCACAAAAAAGAAAACTGTAGACTAACATCTCTGATGAACATAGAGGCAAAATCCTTGACAAAATTTTTGCAAATTGAATCCAGCAACATATTAAGAAAACAATCTGTCATGAGCAAGCAGGATTCATTCTAGGGATACAAAGTTGGTTCAACATATGCAAAGCAATCAGTGTTATTCTCCACATCAACAAAAAGATAAAAATCACATGATCATTTCAATAGATACAGAAAAAGTATTTGACAAGATTGAACATCCACTTATAATAAAAACTTTCAAAACAATGGGAAGAAAATGAACTTATTGCCATATATGACAAACTCACAGTCAACATCATATTCTATGGTGAAAACCTGAAAGGATTTTCCCTAATATCAGGTACAAGACCATGTTGTACAATTTCACCACTACAATTCAATATAGTATTGAAGTTCTAGCCAGTACAATTAGGCAAGAAAAAAGTATAAAGGGAATCAAATTTGGAAAGGAAGAAATAAACTATCACTATTTGCTGATGACATTACATAACCCAAAATACTATCAAAAAACTATTAGAAATAATAACTACAGTAAGATGGTAGGATACAAAATGAATACACAAAAATCTGCTGCATTTCTATATGTAAACAATGAAGTAGACAAAAGAGAAATTATGAAAATAATACTATTTACAATCATACAAAAAAAGGATGATGTGCCTGGGAAAAAATTATAGAGGTGAAGGACATATACATTAAAAACTATAAGACACAGGAAATAAGACACAGAGAAATGGGAAAATATCCTGTTCATGGGATGGAAGAATAAACATTGTTAAAATGGTCATATTACCTAATGCAATTTACATACTCAACACATACCTAGCAAAATCCCAATAAAAATTTTTAAGAAAACAGAAGAGGCAATTATAAAATTTGTATGGAACTACACAAGATCCTGAAATCCAAGGCTGTCCTGGGAGAAAAGAAGAAAAATGGAGGGATCACCCTGTATAATGTCAACCTATACTACACAGCAATAAAAATCAAAATTGTATGATATTGGGGTAAAAAAAACCCAGAAATATACACCAATGGAATACAGTGGAATAGAGAGCCCAGAAAAAACCCACACAAATAAAGACAGCTAATTTTTGACAAAGGAGCCACGACTGTACAATAGAGAAAGTAATTCCTTTTTAACATTGGCTTTAGGAAATATCAGGAAAAGTCACATGTAAAAAAGTGAAACTAGGGGCCTCCCTGGTGGCTCAAGGGGCTAACATGCAGCACTATAAAGCTATCCGCAGTCACTGCAGCATGAGTTCGACCCCCAGCCAGGGAGGTGACCCACATGGTGCAGCAGACCTCTCCTGTATCGCCTGCTGCTCCCCTCAGCAGTGTATTTCAGTACATCTGCCTGTTCCACTCCCCACTCTGTCTCTGGTGAATCCTCTCACCCACTGCATCTTTGGCCTGCACCCCAGCTCTTGTATACATAAATAAATCTTTAAAAAAAAAGTGAAACTAGATCATTACTTAACTCCATACACAAAATTTAATTCAAAATATATTATTAAACAGTTATATGTAAGACCTGAAATCATAAAACACAGAAAAGAAAACACACAAAGATGTACAATTATTAAATGCAACTCCAACAGCTAGGGACACAAAAGCAAACATAAACAAATAGGAATACATCAAACTAAAAAGGTTTTTTTACCACAAAAGAAACCACCACAAAAACAAAAAGATGACCTACAAACTGGGAGAATATATTTGCATATCACATGTCTGACACAAGGTTAAGTTCCAAAATATATGAAGGACTCATATACTCAACAACAAAAAAATAAAAAATTCTATCAAAAAATGGACAAAGTACCTAAACAGACACTTCTCCAAAAAAAGACATTTAGATGGTCTATAGGCACTGGAAAAAAATGCTCAACATCACTTATTATAAGGGGTATGCAAATCAAAACCACATTAAGATATTACCTCATGCCTATGAGAATGGCCTACATCAAAAGGACTGGAATCTTCAAATGTTGGTGAGGATGTGGGGAAAAAGGAATACTCATCCACTGTTGATGAGAATGTAATCTGGTGCAGCCTCCATCAAAAACACTGTAGAGATTCCTCTAAAAAATACAAATGGAAATACCATAAGATCCAACAATACCACACCTAGGTATTTAGCAAAAAAAAATGTAAACATTATTATGAAAAGATTTGTGTATGACTATGTTTATAGCAGCATTATTCACAATAGTCAAGTCATAGAATCCACCTAAATACCCATCAACAGACAACTGAATAATGAATCTCTGGAATATATACTCAATGGAATACTACTTAGCCATTAAAAAAGTTGTATTATGCCTTTAGTCACAAAATAAATGGTACTGAAGGTGATTATGCTAAATGAAGTAAGTTAGAAAGTGAAAGACAGTTAGCAGTTATAGATAACAAAAGAAAACAAACTGGTAAATCACCTCAAACTAATTTCTTAGACTGAAAAATTGAATGGCTACATGAGGGAATGGGGTAAGTGGAGGATAAGAGGGGGAAGATGATAGGGTATTGGCACTAAAGTTTTGTTGGAGGGTGAATGAAATTCTACTCCCCAAATTATATAGTTGTGTAAATGGATAGCAAATCAGTAAAATTTGAGGGAAAAGGAATTTTGAATAAGGAAATAAAGCCAATGACATCAGAGAAGGCTTCAAAGATAATGCAGAATATAGGTCTGCCTTAAGCGAGAAGATTTTTCCATGTAGATATAGGAGGATGACATTACATAATATTGATACGAAGGGGGAAAGTCCACTGTAACAACTGTTGGGAATAAAGATATAACTGGAAACACAATGGACCATGTAAACATAATAGGTCAATACTTAAATGAGAATTTTGAACACATTTTGGTAATATTTTATGACAGGGAAAGACAAAAATCTTTAAGAGCACACAACATTAGTATTAAACATAGTCAAGGAATGCATCCTAAAGGAATTCATAGTTGAAAAAGGGAATGCTGAATTTTATTGTCAGCCATAGGAAACCATCTAAATTGTTTATTTTAAAGGGGTGAATTGGGTCAGATTGCTCTTTCCAGAGCAGTCAAGGGTAACATAAAAGATGTACTGGAAGAACAGATAGGAAGCAGGAGAACCTAATGAGAAGTTGCTACTTTACCAGTAAAGATTATAAAAACCAAAGTAAGGCAAATCAGCAACTGAGAAGAGAAGGAGATGACTATAAAAGATCAACATATCTTAATGGCCAATTAGATGCAGAGATACAGAAGAGGGAAAGAAATATTTTATAATTTCCCATCTGAGATAATAATTAATAATCAATTAAAGAGATAATCAATTAAAGAGTAAATTTTAATTCTACATTTACTTTGAAACAAAACATCAGGGCACGAATGTTCAAAAGATGCAACAATCACCAAGTTTCATTCAGAAATATTCTCTTTTGCATAGACACACACACACACTCACACACACGCACACATTTCTGTATAACCAGTCTGCACCGCTGAAACACTATAGCGGTTTCAGTGATATGCCCCAAGAAATTTTATTATCTCTGACCTTTTATAGAAAATCCATGACACCTTTATTTAAGAATCTTTCCTTGCAAATATAACCAATTGATCCCTGTCCAGCATTTGCTAGATATATTTGATTTTGTGACTGTCCTAGCTTTGTAGAATGCTTTACAATGTGTTTTCATTTTCACCCATTGTTCACCTAATATTTTGTGTTTAAATGTATGCAAATTTAGATTCTTATAATCTCTTGCATGTAAGTTACTTCCTCATTCTCTTTAGTAATCATGAATATTAACTCATTCAAAGAATACTTGTTATTGTAATTCAGTGGAAATATAAATTCTATTTAAGACTTTCTTTTGGAATCAGTCTTACTCCAATTATCCTAATCATAGTAAATTTTTCTTTTAGAACACCAAAGGTCAGAAATATGACAAAAAAAGTATTATATGAACTAATGTTTATAAGATATAGTCTCTGGCAAATAATAAACCATCCTTACTTGTCAGCTATCCTCTATTCAATACTTTTAGCTTTTATGTACAATTTTAAGTCTTCTGTTTCTTTCAACACCCAAATATCCAGCAAACCAGGGCTGACTTAGATCATCTGAACAAAAAGGCATTCATAGCCAACTTTGCTTAAAGCTAGTAACCAAATTCCATGAACACTACCAAGCAAGCACTCCAGAGTGAGAGGATCATTTGATACTTTTATTATTTTATCAAAACAAAATAATGGACCAGAGTAATATCCAATCATAAGTTTATTACCATATATAGGATATATCATAGAGAGGTAATTCCCTCTCTATTTCCTAAAAGAAATGTTAATCATCAAGTAAGCACACTTCCTGAGTAAAAGGGGGATTTTTTTTTTTTTTTTTGAGAAATTTGGCAGGCACTTTCCCCTCTATTATTTCTGTTTGTATAGTTTAGTTTTCTGAGAAGGGGGACACATAACCTTGTAATACCTTGCTTATGATAACAGCCATCGTCATGGTTTATTATTTCTAGTGTGACTTATTGAGAAGAAACAAGAACTGCCACGTGCAAAGTTAAAGAACTTGGGGCCTCCTGGTGGGGCAGCGGGTTGAGCGCAGTGCTGGGAGGCTGTTCGCAGCCTCTGAAGCATGGGTTCAATTCCCGGCCAGCCAGGGAGATTCCCACATGGTGTGGCAGATCTCTCCTGTCATACCTGCTGCGCCTCTCAGCAGTGTATTTTGGTTGTCTGCCTGTTCTGCTCCCCACTCGGTCTCTAGTGAATCCTCTCACCCTCCCGCACCTCTGGCCTGTACCCCAGCTCTATAAAAATAAAAAAATCTTTTTTAAAAAAAACTTGGGGCCCTTTAGATTTTGTGGAAGTTTTTCTATCATTCTATTCCCTTGGTTCTTTCTATCAACTGAATCAAAATAAGGCAGTATCCTCAGGAAAAATCATAATCCTCAAGTTGGTTCATTCAAAGGTAAATAGAAGGAGGGGGTGTAAGCTTAGTGCTTCCTGTTTTGTCAAGAGCAGGGATGACAACCTGTTAAATAATCATGAAGAATAAAAATTCAAAATCGTGAACAAGCTTAGATGTTCCTCAGTGGTACAGAAGCCATCAATCACCTATTTCACATTGTCAAAAACATGTGCAAAATATTTGCCTTCTGCTTTAAGGATTTCTACCTGATCTTCACATTTTTTTTTTTACCTAATGTCAAAAAAGATGTGACTATTTAAGTTTAATCAAAGTAATCAAGTACACAAAGTGAGGAAGATTCCAATTTATCTCATTATCTTTTGAGAATAATAATTTTATCCTTGATAAGTTTTATCCCAAAAAAAGGTATATTCTTTTGTGAGTGGGCCTTTTAAAAGCAAACAAAGTCAGGGAGTTGTCCTTATGTGCTGGAGCCCTTGAATTAAATTTCTTGATTGGTTTAAATCATCATTTCTGACAAGTTAACCCAATAACAAAATTTCTCAGCATTTTTTCCACCAATTTCAACAATTCAAACTGTTTCCATGTGTTCTAGTTCGTAACTGTGTCCTTTAGAAAAGGATAACTTGAGTCTGACTGACATAGTCACAAGGATCAGTTAAGATTCCTCAGGGATTGCTGTGGGGAAAGGAAGAAGGATAGAGGGAGAAGGAGATAGAGGGATTGAGAAAAGTGGGAAAAAGAAGGGTTCTTACTTTAAAACATTTTCAAATAGGGGCCTCCCCAGTGGCGGTGGCACAGCAGGTTGAGTGCTGCGTTGTGAGGCTGTCTACAGCCTTTGCAGCACGTGTTCTATTCCCAGCAGGCCAGGGAGACACCCACATGGGGCGGCAGACCTCTCCTGTCTCATCAACAGTGTCTTCGGTCCATTTGCCTGTTCTGCTCTCCACTCTGTCTCTGGTGAATTCTCTCACCCTCCCACGCCTCTGACTGTACCCCAGTTCTTATATAAATAAATGAATCTTTAGGAAAGAAAAAAACTTTTTGGAAAAAATGGTTCTGAGACTAAAAATGCTTTGTAGGCTTTTTTATAGGATAAATAAATCTCTTTGGTCCATACCAGTTCTATTGCTTGATTACTTTATGATTCTGGGATCCCCTCTCAGCTGTGATTCTCAGAGCACCATAGGAAAAGCTACTATGAAAACACATGTTTAAGGCTATCTGTAAAATCTAGTAGTCTCCTTTCATCTGGATATCTACCAACTGGTCTTCTCAGTCAAAATATTATATTACATTATATACTGTGCTCTTATACAATAATAAAAGGAATATGAATTCCAACCTCACCCTATGATAACTTTGGTATTTGCCACTATTTGGTTTCAAAAAAAGGGGGGTGAGTAACAGGATAAGAGTGTCCCTGGAATAAGTAAAAGAATTTTCTTAAGAAATTGTATCAATAGATGTGTAGGATCCAGATCTGCACATATGAATGGAGATAACATAATAAAGAAATATCAGTTAGTTCTTCCTTGTCATAGCATGTTCACCTTGAGGCCAAAAGCCATGTTCAGTCTACTTCAGACTGTAGATTCCAGTTCTCCCTGCTAAAAATTATTAAAGTCTTTTTAACCATTAAAACTCTCAGCACCTTGTAATTGCCCTTTTCTACTTATTAAGATGACCCAGCAATTCTATTCCTAAGAATCTACTCAAAGAACACAAAAATACTAATTTGCAAGGAAACCTGCACTCTATGTTTATTGCAGCACTGTTTACAATAGCTAAGATACGGAAACAACCTAAATGCCCCCAAGCAGATGAATGGATCAAGAAGATGTGGATTATTTACACAATGAAATACTATTCCATGGTCAAAAAAGATAAACTCATGCCATTTGCAGCAGCATGAATGGAGCGGGCAGAGATTACACTAAGCAAAATTAGTCAGAAGGAAAAAGATAAATATAAGATGGTTTTATTTATAGGTAGAATATAGAGAAATCAAAACAAAGGGTCAGGAAAAAGACAAAACTTGCATGAAGCCCATAAATCAGAGAGAAGGGATGGGAGAAATCAAACAGGGGAGGAAAGAACACAAGGGTCTATGGTGATGGATCACAGATGCTATGGTGGTAGGAGAATTATAG